CTTCTATGGTCCAATGTCGATACTTTTTTAGCAAAATTTAGGCAGATTTTATGATGAGTTTTAGACAATAGAAGTTTCTTGCATTTTGTATATGCACGTAAGCCATTTCTTCAAGTATTCTTCGAATTGTACTAGCGCTAATGTCTATTTTATCATAAATTTTTAGTAATTTTTGTATATCAATAACCATTTTACACTCATTTTTCAGACAATAATGCGTTTATAACATGGAGTAAGTTTCCGTGGTCAACCTAGAGTGGGTTTATTTATCAATTGTTTGTTTCTTGATATTTTTTTTTAAGTCTTAAGATCGTAGAATGATGAACTTTACAGCCAATTTTAACAACTTGATGGGAACTATATCCTTCTTCAAGTAGTGTAATAGCCTTTGTTCTTTGTTCTATCGTCAATTGTTTTTTTTTTTTTTTTCCTTTGTTTAACATTAAAAAAATTTTTAAAAAGGCTATTTTTATATTTGTTGAAAAAACGGCAAAAATAATGCACCAGCGATTTTTCATTAAATATTATTTTAATCAAAATTTATCATATTCATATGCTTTAAAATTTATGCATTATTTAGATCAATCAATGCATTATAAATATCATTAATTTGATCGTGATTGAATTTTAATTGCATAGGATATACTGTATTTAATTAAAGATCATCAATGCTAGTGGTGCGTTCTTTATGACGGCCGCTGTATGAATCCTTTTTAACGCTGGCATTTAATAAATCTTACAATTTTAAAAAATATTGAACGCGGTTTAAACATATATTAGCAAAGTCATAATTTTATAAAACGATATTAAAGCGATCTAGCTATCTAATGTTTTTTTTTTTTACAAAAAAAAAAAGAATAATCTATGTTTTTAGTACAAAAAAGGAACAAGGTTCTAGTATACGATGCCATTGTAATATTAATAGTAGTAATAACTGTAACTTTTCTAGGGTTAAGTTATAAAAAATAATATATTTAAACGCCATAAGTGTAGGGATTATAGTAAGGATTATAATAGTAATAACTGTAGCCCCCAGCTTCGGCAGAACGTTTTTCTTGATGAGCTGTAAATAATAATATAATTAAGCTCTATAATGATGAACATTAAACCTAATGAAGACTTACCATCAGCATCAGCCGAGCGCTTAGAGTGTTTATAGTAGTAAGGATAATAATAGTAATAGCTGTATCCGTAGGGTTTAGCTTCGGCAGAACGTTTTTCTTGATGAGCTGTAAATAATAATATAATTAAGCTCTATAATGCAAATATTAAAAATAATGAGAACTTACCATCAGCATCGGCCGAGCGCTTTTCATATTTATTATAATAGTAGTAATAGCCGTAAGGTTCAGCTTCGGCAGAACGTTTTTCTTGACG